AGAAAATTGATATTACTTATATTTGTAAAGTTTTGTATTGCAAAATAAATTTCTGGATCATATGCAAAAAATGTTAAATATATAAAAAAAAACGTTGTAAATGCAAAAATTTATTATTTTTAATTTCATTTGCTTTTTATACACATTAAGAAGATAATAATTGCAACTTACTTTTATGAAACAGTTAAAAATTCTTTTACAATATATAATTATGTACAATATTTAAGGTTTTAATATTAGTATTTAACAATAAAATGTAGATTTAAGGTTCTTGTTTAAATCGACATAAAGAATAGATCAATATTTAATATAATTATGCAAGATGTACATTACAGCAGGACATAAAATGCATTTTTAAAAGATATAACAGATATATTATTTGATACTAAATGAAAATATAAAGTTTATACATTGAATGTATGAAGTTAAAAATTTGCTAATTTCTTAATGGCTAAATTACTAGAATGTTTATGAAGCATGTACAAATTTACCTATATTACAATAATAATAATTACATGTATATCTATATATAGGCATTATTTAGATATATTTCTAGTAGATATATTACAATATTCAAATTAAAAGATTCGTATAATAAATAACAATTTCATGTTATAAGTTACATAATTAATCTTCGTCTGTACTTTTCTGGTAAACTGCACCGAATTTACTCATATACTTACGTACAAAATCTTTAGCTTTATGTTTAACATTTTCATTACATTGTAATTCATCAACGCTTTTACAATGTTTTAATTCTTTCGCAAGTACAAAATGTGTAAGCTAAAACAAAAAATATTTTGAAGGAGTTACATTTAATATTATTGTAAAAATAAAGTCCGTAAATCTAAAACAAAATTTTTCAAAAAGTCCAGTAGAAATTTTCTTCGGTAAACATACCTTTCTGGCAAGATGTTTAAAATCTTCTGTATTGGTTATTCTACCTTGTTTACAATCATTTTTCCTATATGGATTCAAAAAATGTACCATGACATTTGCCATATTTATCCTAAAAGTATCTTTGATCTTTCGTTCCGACATTGTGGAAAGGTCGGTCGAAGGTAATTGTAATTTATTCAAACTATGACGTGAATGTGATTTAGATTTGTTACTACGGCGATGTCTTCGTATTTTTTCAACGTGTTCTTTAAATTTGGCTTTTTCTTTCTGACGACGTAATTTTTCTTTTATTCCTTTGTGCGTTTTATGATCTATACGATCTTCTTCTCGGCGTGGCTGTAAAGTGTATAAATGTAACATATAATAATAAATCATGAATATCAATTGTAAATAAAAAACAAAAACAAAAACAAAATATAACGTACACTAATAATCCTTTCTTGAACTAAACCTTCTCTTCTTTTTTTGCCTTCTGGGAAAGGTACTGAACTTCCAGTTATATTATGAACTCCACTTTTTTTAGCCACATTCTGCTTAGTACCATTTAAGGATTTTTCTATTAAAGTGCTATTTAAATTTATTTCTTCGTTTTTCGAATCTTCGTTATTATCTTCATCGATTTCTTCGTCGTCTTCATTTGATGAACTAGATTCTTCGCTAGATTCTGAGGTTGATGATGAATCTGGTTGAACTCCAATGTGATCTGGCGGGGGAGGTAACCATTGTGATATTCGTTCTTTTATGTGATAATAATATGTTCTGCCTCTAGTATCAGTTGCACTCTTCCATTTAGGTGGTAAATCTATAGGAGGTACTTCAGGCTGTGGCTGTCTAAATGTTGTAGGAAACGGTTGATCTGATTGCTTTTCAATATGCTCATATAGAGGCTGAGTTTGAAGTGTAACCGATGTTCCACTAGGAATTAAATTATTTGAAAGTGGCAGTTGACCTTCAGGATATTGTTGGTGACAATGAGATAGTAAAGGATAAGCTGTTGTTGTTTGATTAAATACAGGCGTTTGACTTAATGTGTATACTACTGGAGGTACACCTGAAGGTATACTACTTGACATGCCAGGTGATATCTCAGAAGAAATTGATGGTGGTAGGACATGTGAGCTTTGTGGTACCATTCCAGGTTGTGTATGACCTGATACTGTCTGTGGTCCACCTACATATACTGGCGTACACTGTTGATTCATTTCTCCATCTGTAAGAAAAGTTTACATAAATAAAGTAATTATGGTAGAAATTTAAATATAAGAAAAAATTTTTATGTATATATATATATATGTATATATGAATTAAAACCTTGTGAAGGGTACTGTTGCCATTGCCCAATCGATGGATTATAGAAAACAGGATGTCCTGTTTGCGGATCTACCATAGCTGTGGTATGAGGGTCTATACCTAATGCTATACATCTAGTTTCGTGATCTTGCCACGATTCTTGTTGCTGCCGACGTTGTCGCTCTTCTTCTTCTTTAGCTACTTTTAAGGCAAATAACTGTCTACGTTCATATTTTGTCATTCGTGGAATTGGAACTAAACTACTCCTCTCTTCTATTCTCTTATCTTTTGTTCGAATGTGTTCAGATTCTGGAGATTCGCGTCCTCGTCTTCTATCCCCACGTTTCTCTGTTTCACTTCTTCCATATCTATCAGATCTATGCCTGTAAAATGATAAACTCGTATTTTAATTATTGATTATAAATTATTTATGAACTTACAAACTTATACCTGTCATATGATGTTCCTCTTTTTTCCTCTTTTTCTAATTCCTCTCTGTATCCACGATCTATGGAAAAACGTATATTATATCTACCTTTATGTTGAAAATCTTTTTGTATTAAAAATTAATTCAAAATCATTACCTGCTTCTCTTTCATGTTCTTTCATTTGTTCAATTCTTTCTTTTTTTGGTATACGAAAAACTTCCTTCAGATTTGACCACTCAGATAACAGGCTTGACGCTAATTCAGGAATAAGATTTTGATCTGCATTGTCAGGTTTTATTTCAGTAGTTTCTATACTATTTTCTTGTTTGTCTATATCAGTTAATTGATAGGAGCTTCTTTTTTCACTACTGTCATAATTAATTTGCAATTCGTCATTATTTGATTTCAATTTCCCTTGATCATCTTCTGGAGAATCTCCACTCAGAGAAAAATATAATCGTTTTGACCACTTTTCTACTACATTGTAAATTTTGCTATCCATTAACATCGTTTTATTAGGAATTGGAAGCGTATTTAGGGTCTTCAAAACTTCCAGCCGGAATTGTTGCGCTTCATCAGAGTCGTTTGTAGAAATATCCATAACATAACTCCAAATTAAGCGTAAACCATGGTAATCCAAAAATAATCTTCGACATGGCTGTTCTCCACTTTGTATAAGACGTAAAAGACGTGTTCTGTGTTCTAACTCCCTGCTACGTACCATTAATCTACTTAATGTCAATGTGTGAGCTCTATTTTTCAAACCACCTGAACATAACTTATCTATTTCATCCTCCAACTGAAATAATGTGTAACGTAAGATGAATGCATAAATAAAAAGATAATTTAAAAATTTGCATATTACTTACATCTTCATCTTCCATGTAATCAGCTTGTTTCTTTTCACCTTTCTTCTTTCTCATATCTTTCTCACGTTTCTCTTTTTTCTCAATCTTTTCTTTTTCTTCTTCGGGTGTTTCGCCAATCCAACCACGACAGTTAAGAGCTTCACAGAAACATTTCTGTGCCTCTTTACTAATTTTGCAATAAAATTTAACATAAATAATATGTTTTTTAATGTAAAGTACTTAAATCTGTCCAGCGTTATTTTCCAGGAACTAGTTGGAATTTTTAAATTCGTTTTTATGAAATTATATGGTATTAAAAATGTCACAATTTGATATACTTGACATTGTATAGCTGGACGCACTTCGCACATTTCGAAGTAAGCTATGTTTTTTTTTAATTTTATTCTTTCAAAAGAGTATTAAGGTATTTATATGAAAGATATTTCAACTTGAAGTCTGAAAAGTGTGTGAAATGAATGGAATATCATTTTAAAATTGAGTAAACTTTTGGATTTAAGTGGGAGTCTATTACTTTAATAGTGAAATTTAAAAAGGTAAAAATTTTTTATAGTTTTGAACTGTACTTAATAAATTGACTAGAAATATCTTTTGCACATTATTTGCATGTTGTTTATCGACAAATATATGGAATAGGAGCGTATAGTACACAAAAATTTAATTAACATTTTTTCGAAGAATAATGCTGGATTTATTTAAATAAGGTAATCTTATATTAAACTATTATTAACATACATACCCATAACGTTGAAAATGATAGTCAAATGTAATCTCTTCACCAGCAGATATAAATTTTTTATTAAAAAAGCCTATTCTCAATTCACCATTCACTGTCCACTGTACAAATTTTAATTATAAAAATAAAAGTCTTCATTATTTACAAGTTATCTTTACTATTTATACTTACTTTCTGTGTTTCAGAATTTGGATCACAACTGTGATTTATAAATCGAGAAACATTTCCTTTCATAGTAGCATCAATAATTTGATCAGATTTTAATGCCATAAAATAATAATGTTTATTTTTATCTTTTTTTTTAATAATTTATTAAATTTAATAAACCGATTATTATAAAGAATTTTATTATGTTTATTACAACTATATTTGAAATTACTTACGCTAATAAATCAACCATAGCTCGTAAGCCAAATCCTTTTTTTTCTGTTCTAAATACTTCACACTTTGCATATTCACAATTTTGAAATCTTTTATTTGTGCAGCGATCGCCTACTACACATCGAGGTCCACTAAATAACATAACACATTATATAACTTATTTTTCTGTTAGTATATCATGTTTAATTTGAATGTATTAATGTAATATATGATATACATACCATTCTATCATAAGAAGTCTATTGAGACAATCTTCCCCACAACCTAGTTCACCCCTTTCAATTTCTTCTTCTGTTAGAAAGCAATCACACACCATTCGTTTTGTTTCTTTATTTGTATACCTGAAAAAATTATTACTACACATACTATATTTTCATAAATATAATTCTATTTACATACCTTTCTGTCAGATATAAATTTTCACGCAAATATTCAAATTGGCTTAACCTTTCTTCCATTTCTCTGTCTTTTATTTCAGGAACCATAGGTAATGAGATTTTTGCACCAACAAGTTTTGGAATTTGTACAATACTGTTATTGTTAGCTGATGTCTCCTTTGCTTGTTCTATATCTATGTTAGATTGAATATATGCAGTTGTTGATGCAGATCCAGATGTGGAATCTGAAAAGCTAACATCTGTTATAATTCCGGTTGTAGACTTGAGTGTTGAAGATGAACCCGATTCAAATGTATTTGTAGCTATGGTTCCAAATGCAGACCCAACTGCTGATGTAGATACAGTTCCTGTATTTGATCCACCCATCTCAAGTTCACTTGATCTTCGCCAACGAGATTTTACTTTAACAGGTTTAGAGGAATCAGAATCATAGCCTGCAGTATTACAAGTTGTTGCTAGGGATGTAAGAGAATCAAATGTATTTACTGTCTTACTGACATTATTCTCTTTATCTGATTGTGGTTCAGGTAGGTTATCTATTTTTATTTCTTGAGCAATCAAAATAGTGTTATTGGCTATTTTTTCTCGTTCTTGCTGAACACTTGATTTTGAAACATCTATATTAGGTTTTGTAACTAAACCACGTCCACGAGACCTACAGAATAATATTGAAAAGCATCTTTTGTAATAAATAAAAAAAAGTATGTTAAAAATATTTGTCTATATTTCACCAAAATATTGTACTAATTGTACTAAAGAAAATAATTGTCATTTAAACTACAGGTTTGTTTTGTTTTTTATGTTACAAACAATGAAAGTTACATGTCAATTCTGGAACTCAAGCAAACTATCAAGTATATAGATGTTATTTTACTTTATTGTTAGTCAAATTATATATATTAAGTGTGTTTATATAATATTTTTTTATCAATAGTAATACATTAAAAATTGTTTTCGAGGTCTAAAGTATATGTGTTATTTATATTTGTTGATAAAAGTAAATTTTAGTTTTGTCAAATATTCCAAATATATTCTGTATATTTAGTTTTTGTTTAGTACTACTAATTTCATTTAATAAAAATGTATTTCTATATATGTTTTATACTTGTGTATTAAGATACATACCTTTGCTTCATTAAACCAATGGATCTAATTCTACTACTTCTTCTTACACCAGAACTATTAGATCCACTTTCTGAACCTGTTGTATCAGTACTACCACTCCTACTTCTAAATTCAACTTTTTTGTCAATATCATTTGAATTATTGTTACACTTTGTATCAAATTCTGTTAGTTTACAATTAGTCATAGATAATAACGTATCATTACTGCTATCACTGCTACTAGAAAGTTTTGTGTCTTCTCCATCAATTTTACTATCAGCTTCACTATCACCATATAATTGTTCATTAACCTGCTGTGAGTTTACTGTTTTACGTTGATTTCCATTCCTTTTATCTTGTAAAACTTTTGATTTTAGTAAATGTTGATTTGTAAATTCTACTTTCTCATTACAGGAATCAGATTTATTTAATTCTGTAATATTTTTATCTGTATTATCAAGCAACAAAGCAGAAGTATTTGACTGATGTAACTGTTCCATTTTATCTAATATTGAAGAACTGCTTTCATCATCAACACTCATTGGTATCACTTTCTCTGTGTTACCAGCAATTTGTAATGGAGACATTATGTTTTCCATATTAGATAAATCATTAACTAAGTTTTGTATTTCTTTTGAGGGTTCACTAATTTGCATATCTGCTAATTTGTTGTCTATTTTGCAGAACACATCATCTTTAGATAAAATTTCTTGTAATCTTTTTGTACACATATCTTTATTTGTGTATAAGTCTTCTTGATCATCAAATGTATTTTTACTATGAATATATGATTTTTCTAAATTAGATGATTTGTCATTTTTATCATTAGAAGTCATTGGCACATCTATACATAAGGCTGATATGGAATCTTCTGGTTTAGTTTTATGTAAATTACACATATCTTGTTGTGTATCACAACAACATTCGTTAGTAGATGTGTTTCTAGAATCAGACTCCATTAGTATAGATTCCATACCACTCTCGTTTTGTATCACAGTATATTCTACAAAATTGTTTCTTTCTAAAGAGGAGCTGTTCATAATTAGTACCTCTTTTACTATCATATTATCATCTTGTTTCAGACTGTTATCTTTAACATCTTCTTTAACTTCCAACTCTTCACAAATTATAGTTTCTTCTATCACATCTTCTGGCCACATTTCAATTTCGGCAGAATCAGATTCAGTTACAATTTCCTTATTTGGATTACCAACAACTACTTGTTGAACATCCTCAGGACTAAGTTTTTCAGATTGATCAATCATAATGTCTATTCCATCTTGACTATCACTTTCACTAGTATCCTTCTTATATTGTGATGATGAATATGAACACTCTTCATTAATTACAAGTATATTACTATTAGAAACACTCTTATGTTTGTTATACTTCCTTAAAGAATTTTGATTCTTTTTTGGAAGAACTTGATTTTGGTATTCTGCAGTATTTTTTCTATCTTCTGAGTCATTTGAGTAAGATATTTGTAAAACATCTCCATTAACTTTTTTCTCTTCTAATTGCTTTTTGGCCATTTGTCTGCTAGATTTTCGAACAGGTACATACTTAAGGGATGACTTTACAGATGATTTCATTTCACTTTTACGTCTACGTGCCATTTTGATTCCATATATTTTTCTAATCTGAAATGTATATGAAAAAACATATTTAAAAAAACATAATACCTTTAATTATATAAAAGTGGTTGAAGTATTATTAAAGTGATATTATATTGGTAAATATATATATATTACATTAATTTGAAATTAAAAGTGAATATATCAGTACGAAGAAACGTCACCATTTATTTTATCAGTCTTTTATTCTAAAGAAATCACAATTTTACTATATAATGATGATTATTAATGATTTTATAAATATTAGTGGTAACTACAAATGTTAATTTTATTGGCTTATTGCTACAAGTTTTGTTTGTATAATAAATTATAGGTAATAAAGTGATTAATAAGGTTACATATTTTTTCTTTTTCTATAAACACTTTTATTTATTTTAAATAAAGTGAAAAGTAGATACATGTAAAACTGTGATTCTTTCTAAATTTTAAAGCAATTAAATTTGCAACCAGGAAGTACTCCATTTGTGTCTTGCTCCATAATGGATTATACACAGTTATCATGAAAATTAAAATCTTGACTTACAACCAATACTGATTCATTATTTTCTACTGTAGTGACTTTCATTATACAGATATTTTAAACATTCAATAATGTTTATTAAATTTTATGCATTTATGAGTATTACAAAAATAGTTGATATTAAAAGTTGATAAACATTGCATCTTCAAATTATATATTTTGTATTTATATATTCAAATTAAAATATGTAGACCAATAAGTACTTACCATATGCCCCTAAAATTACACTTTGTAATTTAATTACAATCATTGTTTAAGATATTTTATGAACTTTTTTTATTAAACACATTTTTGCAATCATTAAATTTCCTGACGAAACATAAACGCAATAGACTTATTATAAATCATCGCAATACCGATTAAATTAATTTGCAATTAATAATTTCAAGCGTTATTATAAAGTTTTAGAAATTCAATAATACACAATTGTGCACTATACATTGATAGAAGTTTTTAAGCAATATAGGTATCTTTCCTTGTCTTGATTGTTTCACTTTGGATTCATCACCTCTAATATAAATGGAACGAAAACTTTGTCGTAGTGAGTATTTTTGGAGTCAATTTACGGTTTGTTTAGGCAAACATTAATCACCTGAATGAATTCATCACTAAGAAGCGAAAGGATACTGTGATACTAGAATGATAAAATGTGTATCTTAAGCGTGTACGTAGTCGCCACTGAATATTGCTTGTTTGTAACAATACCGACTGCACAGGATACAAGGCTGACACTTTAGTAAGTTTACTAGACAGATTCTTATTATGAAATAATATTCCCTAGACATACGGCAAAAATAACTTACATATTACACCACACGTTACTTTATATATTTAAACTATGTAATTACTGACTCAATATGTTCAAGCAAAATTACTGTGTTTGTAATTTAATTTATATATTGTTTTGAGTACATATATACTAAGTACAAATTATTTAGTTAAGTTTACAATTTTTTCTATTAGAAGCAGCCTTTATCATGATATTAAATTTTAAATATTAGCAGCAACAATGATTATATTATATCATATTTCTGATTTATTAAAGTAATTTAAAAACAGTCATTATTATCATTAATATGTACATGTCATATGTAATACGGTAATATGACTTTAGATACTACATTACGTAAATTTTGTACATAAAAAACTTAAACGATCTGTTGAACTTATATTGTTGATCAATCTTACACATTTTTTGAACGTTTACAATATATTTTGCGTCAGCATTGCTTCATATATTTGAATATAATGTAATATAAAGAACCACTAATTTGT